TTGGCAGTATTCGCGACCGAGCACTCTTCGCTTTGTCTGTGTTTATTCTTAATCAGTCCCAACAGCGCCTGCGCTAACAGGTTTACCGTAGAATTCCGGTAAATAATCGCCTGGTCAATCTCAGAAGATGTTCCTTCCAAATCCGAAATACTTCTTGAGATAGATCTGCGCAAGGCCAATACTTGGAGCGAGTCCATGCCAGCCACTGCGAATAGGTCATCATCATCGCCGACTGGTGCTACAGCAGCATCGGCCAAGAGTTCCTGCAGTGACCTCTTTAGACGATCCCTGCTAGAGAAGTCGAGCATAAGTCCGTTCGTGCCGTTTAGCCCTAACTCGGCTTGGAAGTATAGTGTGTCAAGCTCTGGCTTGTAAAGTTGCAGACTGGGACCCCTTCTCACAGTTCCCTTACTTGCCTTCAGGAATGGCTTATCTTCGGAAGTGAATATGATGAACTCGCGATGAAGCTTAGCGTGTGCGGGAGCTGATGCATTTGCTTCTTCAATTGTCGGCCAGAGCCGTTCCAAAATATCATCTCGTTGATCTTGGCTACTTGGCGTATCTCCGTTGGCGAGCTGAATCACGGCAGAGGTTTGAAACCTCCCCTGCCCGGCAACAATAACTGAGTCAACTAGTGGGTTTGTCCCTATTGTTAACTCCATGCTGTGAGGCTGTACTTTTTCGCCGTTTGAGAGAACAATCACGTTGTCCGCCCTCCCCTCGTATGTATAGAGATCTGGCTTGGTTGGGTGTCTCGAGAACAGATCTTTGAGATTGTACTGTTGGAGATCAGGGAACGTTGAGAAAATAGGCTGCCATATCTCCAATTCTGGTTTCCTCACGGCAATAAGCTCGTACAAACCCGCACCACGGTCTTGAAGTTCGAAACCTGTATTGGGATGAAGATGGATATAATTCCAGTCTTCATCGTCTGTCTCAACGCATGGGAGCCATCCAGTTTCCGTCGTGCCAATGGACAGACGCAGCTTTGTGTGTTTCCAAATTCGACTTCCTGCCTCCTTGCTTACTGGACCGCCACCATAAGCGATCGCATTGACGGTATCCAAGATACTAAGGAACTCCTCATCTTTAGAGATCTCCTCCACTAGAGACGGGGCAGTAAATACAGCATCCGGCTTGGCCCACCTGATGACCGTTTTCATTACATCAAGGGCGACGGGTTTTTCGGGCCCAAATATTACCGTTGTCCCATGGAAGAGTGGCCAAAGGAGCCCGTTGGCGAGGCCGGCTGCCTTCATAAGCCATTAGACAGATTTACATGCAAGTACAAACGGTAGAACTTTGACTCACATGAAAGAAAGGAAATGTCAGGTATACTCTTGTCCCGTAATAATCGTGCAGTAATAAGGGACGACCATTGATATTAGGGAGCAGATTGTTGGCTCCAATAGATGCAGCACTATCCAAAAACCGAAATACTGGCTTAGGGTTTCCAGTGCTTCCACTTGTGTGTAAAACCCAACAAGGATCTCGTTTGCCGGTGTCCCACGTCTTATTATATTCATACAGTGAAATTGGCTTACGGTCCAGAAGCTCACCAAGATCGGGTATAGGGACTCTTCTTAATGGAATGTTTTGGTCCAACAGGCGTTGTACATTCGACCCTCGGCTGGGGACCAGCCAGATTCTGCAGTCGGCAGCCTCGACAACGGCAATGTCGCCTTGTACACTGTTTCTAAGTGATGTATAGAGCATTTTATATCCTGTTTTGACAGCCGCGATAACGAAAATAAAGTATCTTAGATCTTGAGGTCCAGTGTAGCCTATGGCGGGAAAATTGACACCCTTGCCTAAGGCGTCGTCAATCCACCAGGCGGCGCGATTGATAGCATTCGCATAGTCGCGCGCCGTGACCTTTGTAAAAGGGAGTGTGACGTCGTTGTTTGTAGGAAACTCATACAGAATATGATCTGGTTCAGTCTCGCTCAATTCATCAACAACATGGGGGAGCAAGCGACGCCCAGCGTCCTCTCGGTGTAAATTCATCCTTCGACGATCTCCAAATGACGAGCAATGTTGAAGATAAATCTCGGAAGCTGTTCTATTAGGTGATGAGCTTGCAAGCAAAGTACACAAATAGGACCAGATTTTCCACTTCAGGTATCTAATCTAGGGAATAATGCAAAGTCGGTACCATTGAACCGGTACGCATCCGAACGACATGATCCTACATTAGCTCGGCAGCGTACAACCTGGAACGCGGCATGCATTGACAGGAAGTCTACATTAGCATCGCCGAAGCCCTTGTCTAAACAGGGCGGCGAGGTTAGCTCCATTGCCGGGGGTACTACAAAGGGGACTAAATCCTGATAGCTTGCTATCACGCAATCCTCTATATTATGACGAAGAATCCTCGCCTCGCACTTTCGTGTTCTTGTTTTCTATACATTCATTACCAAGCATATAAGTCAATCGTTGAGTCGATGTCTTTGCCCTGCCATTCGGTGAAGCTCGAATAGGATAAGTGTAAACATGTTAGTGGGCCTCGCCCATGATGGGCGATGCTTGGCCTGGGGCGTAACTTCGAAGACGTGATGATGCCGCGCTCTTGGGACCCTGAATTGAGTGTTCGCGACTGCATTGAAAAGAAGAAGATAACCGCATCAGTAAATCTGCTGGATGATCTTCTTTCTTATTCAAGATCGATACAAGTGTTATCACATCGATTCTCACCATATTGAGGACTGCTTGACATTGATACAAAGACAGTGTTTCAAGGATGGGTCTCTGGATTCTGGAACCAAAAAGTGATGAGCCGGTGCCTGGCACTGTGCATTTGCAGCGAGAGGCTGAGTTGCGTATTCGAAACACTGCGCAGCTCAAGCACGGAACTGGCCGGAATGCGGACATCGTCCTGGCGCCCCAGCCATCTGATTCTCCAAATGATCCCCTGAGTGAGTTACAGTTTTCTCATAACTTGACGAGGTAAAGTATTAATCCATGTGTTCAGATTGGTCAACGGCAAGAAAATGGTATACGTCTATTTTTCTGTCCATGGGAACTGGCCTGATGGCCGGCACTCACAACTTTGTCAATCCGGCCAATGCACTGATGGCGAAATACTTCCACACCGATATATCCACTATCTCCCGCAGTGTTAGCATCATTCTCTTGACGCTTGGCTTCAGTGCTGTCGTGACTAGTCCAGCTGCGCGTATCTGGGGGAAGCGACCAGTGCTCATTGCAGGTAACATTGTTGCTATAATTGGCTATGCTATCGTCGTCGCCCGATCCCACAGCCTCGTTGGGTTGTACGTAGGACGGGCAATTCATGGCCTTGGTATTTCTGCCCTCGAGTACCTAGTCAGTTCGAGTGTTGGCGATTTGTTCTATGTGCACGAGCGAGGTGTTCACCTCGCGCTTTGGCACTATGCTCTCTCTGGAGGCAATGCTATCGGGCAAGTAATTGGAAGCCAAATTGTTGCGGCTCAAACATGGGTTTGGCCTTTCACATATACGTGAGTGCTAGCGAACCGCAATGATAATCAAATATGCTAATTGCAGACGAGCAGGATTATTGTCATTGGTGTCTATACTATCATATTATTCTTTACTTGCCCTGAAACAACCTACAACCGCCGGCGTGAGCTAGATATCGATATCAGAGAAGAAATCACCGACGACAGCAGCACTGAAGCAGATGCTCCAAGCTCTTTCGATAAGACAGGGAATGGCGTCACAACTGAGGAGAAGTCAGCGATTAGACAAGAACAGGATATTGAAGCTGCAACACCTGTGGAACAAAAGAAGACATACTTGGAAAGCCTTAAGTTGTACAATGGTCGATTTAGTGACGAGTCATTCGCACGCGCCTTAATTACTCCATGGACGGCTTATCTTCTGCCGGCTGTGGCTTGGGCATCATTCGCCTATGGATGCTCCGTTGCTTTTGCTGCATCTTTCTCCGTGGCTTTGGGCCAGATCTTCATCAAGCCACCATACAGCTTCACTACATCCCAGATTGGACTGACTGTTCTGTCATCCTTCATCGGTGCAACTCTGGGCAACGTCATTCCCGGTCCTGTATCGGATTGGACGGTGAAATACATGTCCAAGAAGAATCATGGTGTCTATGAGCCTGAATTCCGCATTGTATTGACAGTACCGGCTTTCATTCTAGGCCTCATGGGATTCTGGGGCTTTGGTATGTCGTTAGAAGCAAAGTCGCATTGGATGGCTCCAGTCTTCTTTTATGGTCTCGCGATCTTTGCAGGTTCTATTCAGTCCCTGATTTCGAACACCTACCTGCTCGATTGTCACAGGGCACATGCACAGGATGGCTACGCTGCAGTGACGATTGCTCGAGGAATTTTTTCTTTCGCGATGACTTTTGTTATCAATTCATGGATCAGTCGCGACGGTTACAAGGTTGTGTACTTCTGGGTCGGTACACTGCACGGTTTGAGCTGCGTGATGGGAATGTTTCTATATGTTTTTGGCAAACGAGTAAGTGATCTAACACGATATCTTTAATACCATGCTAACATACTCGCAGATCCGACTGTCTGTCTCTAAAAGCCAATGGATTCAGAGCAAGTTGGGCTCGGCACGGAACAGCGCTTAGGCTCGATGATTACGTATTGAGGAAGCTAGAAGGCCTTTAGCTCTAGAATGAACAAACGACAATCTCTCTTGAAATTCGTACTTTGATACTGTACAAGTTTAAATATTCCCAATGAGGCGGTGTCCTGTTGCAACGATGATGAAGAGGACAACCCCTTTTGGTAGTGTCAACCATGCCTTAGCCACAGTCTTATTCACATCGAGTTTTCAGAATATCAAGAGTCTAGTTCCACAAACTTTTGAATACTGCTCAATTCGCATCTAGCTAAACTTTCCCCGGGATATCACGGATGCAGGTCTTCTCTTCCCAAATTTGGCCGGCACCTAGAGACAAGGCCACCAATAACACTTGTCCTCTCGAGCCTCTAGTACAGTTTTCCAAGAGCTTAAACCGTTCAGTTGAGTCCGGCGCTTAATTAAACCGGTCCGGAAACCTTAGTCGGAGCCGGCTCTGGGTCAGTCGGCTCGTCGGCATGGTCAGCAAGCTTCTCGTTATCATATCCACCGAGGTTGTTGCCCTTGTATGCAGATTCCTGAAGCAGGTTCATTGCTTCTTCTTGACTATCCCACGGACGCACAAAGAACCACCAAAATAGGATACCGCCCACAAAAGCAATAATAGCCACGGAGCCGTAGTTCCACACGAGCAGCGGATCATCGGAGAGCGAGACAAACGCCTGGCCAAGGGCGGCAGATAGAGCGGACGTGAAATTGTAATAGCCTAAAGCAGCATTTGTTAGTACTGTCTGAATCTAATCACCACCCTTTGCACCAGGCTGCACTTACCAAAAACTAGAGACTTCATGTTCGCTGGTGCCTTGGTGTAAGCGTATTCGAGACCAGTAATAGATGCCATGATCTCAGCAAGTCCGACAAGAACATATGAGCCGGCTTGAATCCAGACATTGAGAGGAGCAGGGTTATCGCAAGAATTCATGTAATGACCGCAGGCTCCGAGCTTGTAGATGTAATACTGGACCACAGTTGCCCAGATCATAGCAGAGCAGGCAATGAAGAAGCCGGCACACATACGCTTCAGCGGACTGAATCTGATCTTGAACTTTCGTAGAAGCGGGTAAATGATGTTGTCAAGAATCGGAATCATAATAATGATACCAAGAGGGTTCAAGTTGTTAAGCAGGTCATTCGGCACGCCGTGAAGCTCCATCGTATTTGCCTGAGATACCAAGTTGTTGTCAATCTGGTTGTAAGCAAGCCCTAGATTAAGATATCGTATTAGCCAACTTCTCGTGCAATAGGTGTCACGCCTGTTTAACGTCACTCACAGAACAGAGGATAGAATGAAAAGACCAGGCACGCCTTAACTCCACGTGCAACTTCATCAACCCAGAGGTCATCGAAAGTCATCCAAGCTGGCTTGTTCTCCACTCGGGAGGGCTTCACGTCCTCCCAAAAACTCGGGTCGCGGATATTCGCCAAACTAGAAATATGCGGTCAGACATGAGCGAGGCCAACATCATGCACAGTAAGACACTCACGTTTTGTTTGGGTTCCAAGAAGTCTTGCCTTTTAGTGCAAAGCGGATCAACTGCACAGACTTGCCCAAAACAGACCCTGTCGGTGGTCGAGTGGTGTACTTCTTGCGAAACACCACAAGGACAAGTGGGCAAAGGCAGAACATGAACGTTGGTAAAGTGAAGGATAGCCAGAAGCCAACGTAACGCTCAGCATACACCATGGTGATTTGTCCAATGATGGAGCCGATGTTGATGAACAGGTAAAAATACATGAACATTCGCTGAGTAGTCAGAGCAGGGTCAATGATGACTCGTTCACCAGATCTCAATGTCTCGACGTGCATTGGCTTAGCCGTCAATTGCTCAGCCATGAGTGGCGAGATGTTGGGCCTGCCGAGTGTTAGCCTAAAGAAACTCAACCGAATTGTAAATAACGACAGTCACTTACTTAAAACCACCCACGCCAATACCGAAGAAGATCAATCCGACGGAAAAGCAGCCCAAAGCTCCGTTCTTGTGCTTGATCACATCAGGAATGGCCGAGATAATGATGATGATGTGGCCAAACATGGCCATCGCAATGGCAGCATGAATGGTCTTGAAGCGGCCCCATCTGGTATCGGCAATCCAGCCACCGAATAGAGGAATGAAGTAAGCCCAAAAGCGATTGAATGTCACTAAACCGGTCGAAGCTCGTTGTCCGGCACCTAGGGCACCAGGACGGCCATTCGGGTGAGGATCATTTCCTGTGGTAGAGCCTATAGGTAGTGGTTTCTGGATGAAGTTGGTCACTGTTATCTGTGGTCAGCTTTTTCACATCACCACAAGCAATAATCTTAAAGCATATAGAGCCACCATAGACCACTAAGAGAGCTGTACTTACTAACTGCAGTTGTGCCATAATAAGCAAATCGCTCGCAAAGCTCTACGAACGCGATTGTAAAGCAGATCCACGGGATCGGTGCAGGTATTCTGCGTAGGGTATGCAACTCCTCATCCGTGGGAGGAACAACTGTCTCGGCTTCAGAGTCATGCTCAGATCGGCGGCCATCAAGACCCGTTTTCTCGTCCGCCAGAGTCACACCCTTGAGGTCAGCCGCAGCCGCCTCGATGGCATGCTCAGTACCGACAGAAGTCATATTGGCACTGGCACTTGCTCGAGATAAGCCCGATGAAGTGTCAATCTGCAAAGGCAAGCGCTTGTGACGCGTTATGTGTATCCTCACGAGGCTAGAGACAAAGAGGGAGACGGAGTCCAGAGGCACGGACAGAGGCTGGGGGGCGTATTTAATATGCACTTCCTCATGTAACACTTAATCAAACACAAGGGCCCCAGGCAAAATGAACCTCATGTTCCCTACAAGGTTGTCAATGGGGAGGTGCACGGCAAGCTACAGGGGGGAAGCTTGGACAACATCCGAACGGTAGGATCGCCACTGCTCGGCGCAAATACTTTCACACCATAGGTATGCCAAGCTCTTGCCGTGAATTGTTATCGACGTATCAACGATTCCGACGATATGCGCATCCATCCTCTCGACCCTACATTACAGGTACTGCAGAGTCAAGCAGAGCGTGTGGGCGAGTGAGCTTTGTTTCTTTAATTCAGCCGGCTGAGGAACTGGCTAGGGATCGTGAGGGGTAGCACGAATAACATCAACCATACTTTCGCATGTTCTCATCCTGCAATGCCTTTCATGAGGCAGCCTCCAGCTGGTCCATATCGAGATTCGCAGCGCGTTTTGCTTGGATCGATTCCAAGAGCAAAGACAATTCAAATCGATCGATCCTACACGTAGGGAAGCAGTCTGTGTCTCACTAGTACGATGCAGGCAGCTGGTTGTTGCCCGCGGCGCCCCGCGGTGCTTCAGGTTCCTTGAAGCCTTGGCGAGTGCGATTTCTCTCGGATTCTGGCAGGTCTAGGAGTCTTGGAACATTGGTGGCCCACACCTGTCAGCTCCTGATGGACCCTGCGATCCTAGCTATGGCAAATGAAAGCTCCGAGAGGAGATCAAAATCTCGTGACGCCAACAACACAGTGACGGATAGCGAAGCGCAGGCTTAACGCCAAGCTTAACGCCAAGCGCTGGGTACGGGGTTACACGCTAGAATCATTATCGACCTTCCTAAAACATTGATGCTATCACAGATATAGCCTAGCTCACATACTTGTGCAGCGTAAGCACACAGGCCCTGCCGGTACTACCAAGCGACCGGCGGCCTTCCAGAACGACTTCAATGCTTGAGAAAGACTGGGCATTTGTTGCCTCATCCTGTGCTCGGATCAGATGGCCGACCTTATCGAAGATTACACACGCGTGCATCAAGACCATTCACACCTGCACCTGCAACACAACCCTATGGCATGAAATGGTTTGACCTTCTCTGCGCCAAGTCCGAGGCTTGGTAAGTTGCCAAAATATCATGATGTTCACAAGAGGCAACTCAATGGGAACTGACACGCCTCTTTCTAACAGGGGAAGAGTTGGTCTGGGTTGCCAGAACTTTGACCATTTCATAGCCTAGTGCACGGCGATTTTACTGTTATTGAACACTCTGTTACGTAGCGTACTCCGCGCGCACCATGACGCCATCCCTAGCAAATTGAGTGAAAAGAGTATTAATAGTTATTAATTACATAGCTAGTCAGTTTGTCCTACTCGAGTCAACCGTGTAATCGACCATATCCGTCGGGGCTGAGATTGCCGCGCTCGGAGTGGTTCGTTCAAGCCACGCTAGGCACCACCGTTGGATGCGGGGGTCTTTCTAGAACATTACTACTCGGGTTGTTTCCTACCCAGGAAGGTCAAGAATCTTTGCAACCGGAGGCAAATCCTTTTCCAAATGGTTCACCAGACCGTGGCAAGAAGTGGTGGAGACAAATCTTGTTTTAGGCCTTTGACGGCCTGACTGGACACTTGGCTATCGAACCAAGTTTGGTGCAGGGCTTCTGTAGAGCTATACACAGCTGGGAGGCTGATGCTACACCTGTATCTAGAATCTTGCGGCTGTAATCATAGACCCCAAGGCTATGTCTTACGAGGTAACGGCGCCTGCTCTTATTTGCATATGTCGAGAATCCGAGACTTGGCTTTGTGGCCGTAAATGCCCAGATTGCTTATTTGTGACCAAAGGCGTGCTTGTTATTTTGTGGTATGGGGCACAAGCTGGTCATCGAAGCAGATCGCCTCAGCTTTCGCCAAGGAGCATGCCGAGATTGAAGGCTTGCACTTGTTCTTGGCAATATCAGTCCCACTCGAATCACTAGAATCGTGTCGTCATAGAGTGCTGTAGGTTCCTCGAGAAGCTCGGCGGCGTTTGTATTGGTGGTAGTTGGTTTTCATATTTCACCAGCTACTGAATGTGAATTGTACTGTTTGGAAATGAGTGGGTAGCACATGTTGAACAGCCACATAGAAAACTTTACGATGTGACGAAGACGGCGCTAGCCTCGTTGTCTTGAACACAGCAGTGTCATTCTTGCCGACTTGCACATCAATATCATCAAGAATTGTTGCAGTTGAATCCTTCCGAGTTCTGTTCTCGAGTTCTCATTCATGTCATTACTTTCTCTGTTGATGATGAGCCAGGTAGACTATTCTAGGACTAATTGGGTAAACTTAGTGTAGAGAGCCTTCGGAGCCTCTTGCTGATGCATGATCCCATGGACGTATGACTCCCCCACCAGCCGATAGTTGCCATTTGCAGACGCCTCATGATAAGGGGAACCTGTGCTCCTCCAACAATCCAAACCTCATCCCCCGGCTTCAGCGATCGTGCACCAGTCCCGAGAAGGCCATTGTGTGTGCGGAATATTCTGCGGAGGCTGCCACTCGCAATATCAAATTCATGCTGAAGTTGGGAGAGCTGAATCGGCGAGTAGGTACCTCGGAACACATCTTCCATGACGGCAGACATACGCTGTCGATAAAGCCTTGGACCAAAGGGAGAATCCAGAGGCTCCTTGGCGAATAATTCCTGCCATGCAGGGGTCTGCGTTCTCGTTGGAGTCTGATGCGGTTGGAAGTCGATGTTTGACCACGGGGTTAGTGTATGACGAATTTGGAGGTTAAGGACATAGTCGATAAACAGCATCCCGCATGATGACGGGGCTGGATGCTTGCGGGAATACGTATCAGTCATCATTGTCCTCCATAGAGCCTCTATTCGTGTCTGGGGAAAATGCTGTCGGGCTTGGACAGGATAGTAATCACTCATGCCCATCGCAAGATTGACAATGCTTGACCAACAGGTAGCATTATCGGAAGCCTCGTACGGCATAATTGACGTCTCCTCGACCCTCCCAATCATGTATCCTTCTACTTTTAGCAATCCTTCAAGCATGGCGTCCTTATCTGGGATCCAGCCAAGCTTCCCACACGCTGACCAGGCCGTGGCGCCACGAAACGCCAAAGGATAAGGCACGAGTTGAACGCTATAATCTGGTACCCATGAAGGTAGTCCTTGAAGTTTTGTTCTCGATGAGTCTTGGACATGTGAAAGGAGATGTAAGTCGCCACTAGATAGCAAGAGACTTATAGTGACTCTCGTGTAAACATCCTGAACCGGCAGTTTGTAATCTGGCTCGGCGAGACTGGGCAGGTCAGAAACGGACAGAGTCTTTGTATCGGCGAGTCCCATGAAAGCGTAAATCTTATCCCTCGGATCCTTTGCTTGCGTCTCGCGGTGCATTTGAATCAGCTTCTCCAAAGTGGTTGGAGCTTTATTCTGCTTACGATTCGCCACCACCCATCTTCGTGTCCGGGCCAGTGCAAAAGCAGACATGTGGAATATTGACCGAGACTTGAGAAAGTCTCCATAAATGCCTGGCTCCATTCTCACGGTGTCAATGTGCCCGATCTTCTCCGTATGAAGATGATGGTACCACCTCTTTGCCCTAATGAAAGACAATGTATGATCAAGTCTTGGCCAAGGCAGACTTCTCGATCCGCATACCAGAAGAGCATAGCGAGCCAGCGCCAACTCTTGGACTACCCACGCACGTTTGAACCACGGTCTATTGATGAATGCCAGGAAGCCAAGCCAATTCCAGTGGCTAGGGGATTCAATTGTCTTGTTCGACTGCCATTGTGATTTGAAAAAGTCAGTATAGTCAATTGAATCCCAGGTTGGCCGTGGAATTGCTGCAAGGCGATCGATCGTTGTGAATGCATCCTCAGTGAACTGGTCCTCAATGCCAAGCCAGACTATAACTCCGAGGGCAGCTTGAAAGATGTTTGCCATCATTGCAACTTGTGCATTGCGCTCAATGGTGTTAGTCTGGTCGACGCACAAAGCGTCAATCCAATAATATTTCGGGCTGCTCGAGGAGATGTTGGGAGTCGACGTCCACAGCATCTGTAGCGCATCGAAGAGAGTTGGCGTGACTAGCACATCTTGCCCGTCACATTTGATTGGGAAACACGGTAAATCCTGCCCGGTCTCTAGCCCGGGGATATTGGTCCCATTACTCCACAGGAGATTGGACCAAGAGCTTGCCGGCGCGCGCCGGCGAGTGTATCGTGGAGGAGAGCCAGGTAAGCCCAATGGACGGGATAAGGATAACAATGGATAGCCCCAGGTGTATGAGAGAGCGTGATAAGCTGGGGCCTGCGAAATATCGAAGGTTCTGAGGCTACAGCGTATCCCATCCTTATCTGCTTGATGCAGTTCTAGCAGCCGAATTGCCGTCGGTGAGGGCAAGGCATCATATCGGAATGCTGCCCGCGAGATTAAGCGCCGCGCCCCTAAATCAAATCGCATGTGCTCGTGACGCCAACATCTCAAATGCATTCTTTGACGTTACAGATGATACATCATTGACTTTACTCGATAGTTCATAATTCAAGAATGAGGTGTCGGTGTATTCCGATGAGTTTGTGATAAAGGTGAACTCTGTCATGAGGGAGCCGTCTATCCAGGGATGCACGCTAAGGCACCCCAAAACATAGCCTCAAGCTGTGCATCGCTAGCGTGCCCCCAGGGCCTCCAACACAGCCACCACAGAGCAGTATCAACCCAATGACATTCAGCATCAAAGTTGCTTCTGGGAGTGTTTGATGATAGAATTAAACGGAATCGTATTTTAAGAGTCTAATTTACATGCTATACATATCGGTCAAACCACAACGTAGTATTTTCGCATCTGGGTTTTCTGATTTATCGATAGTCGAGCGAGTCTAGATGTTTATAGCTAATTTGATCGATCCGCTCGTCTAATGTGTCCCAGTGTTGACTTCATTCTTGACAAGTCTCGCGTTCGCTGCCTCCCTCCGCCATCGTACACCCCATCTCCACTGCACAGCTGGGCCAAGTAGTGCAAGGAGCTGCACAGCGACGCAGACTGAGAAGGCCCATCCCACACCAATGCCGTTTATCATAGGCATCACAAAACTTGTCCCTGCAGCGGCGAATAAACATCTTGCGAGGTTCAGGCTTGCACTAGCTGCTGCGCTGCGATCCGGAAAGATGTCGACAAGATACGTCATAATCACCGACTGTGTAGAGACCGCTGTCCACCCTGTGATGAATGTGGAGATGATAGGAACGGCTATGTGGACACGATGAGGGTATTGAATTGTCCATCCAAAGAGAATAATGGAGCCGCACTGCAGAAGAGCAAATACCGGGACCAGGCGAAGCCGGGCTTTTTCAATCGGGAAATCGTCTTCTCGATCAAGCTGAGTCCCACTTGGTTCGAGATCAAGGTCTATAGAACGTTGTTGGTACTTGGCCTGAACCCTGCGATAGTCAATATCCAGTATTTTCCCAGATACAAGCGTGCCAATCATCGATCCTACTCCATTGGCAATGAATGTCAGGCCAATTTGAGTTTCTCCAAGACCATAACGATCTTTAAACAGAGTGGACATCGCAGTGATGCTCATCTGCCAGACTGCATAGTAAATGGCCAGGAAAATGATGATTGGAGCTGCTTGTTTGCTGATGAGAATGCGGAACGGTCCCAAGATGTCGATGGATTTGCTTGGGCCAGGTTGAGGTACTTCAACGTTTTTGTCCCATTCCACTCGGGTGGTCCTTTGGTATACGGAGAGGGGATATTTCATCAACACGTTCGACGGTACTCGGCTCCCGTTTGCGACTACTGATCTCAGAGTTTCAGGTAACAGAAGGATGAGGGAGAGTAGAAAGACGCCGCTGTAAATGGTGAGAAACCAGAATATAGCCCTCCATCCCAACGAGCCGGCAAATGCGCCGCCTATCACAGGACCGATGGCAACTGGTACAAGCAAGCCCGCCTGGAAAATGCCCATGAAACCACCGCGTTCAGCGCGAGTTGTTACATCTCCGGTTACACCTGCTCCGATCGCGATTGTACTCGCACTTCCGGTACTTTGGAGGCATCTCAGAACGACTAGAGAGGCATAGTGCTTGGTTTCAGCAAGGCCGATACAGGCTCCCAGAAACACGAGAAATGTGAAGCAATACGCAACCCGGCGGCCTTTTGCGTCGGAAATAGGACCCCAAAAGCTAGGCGCAATTCCTTGGAATATCAGATATGAAGTAACGGTGAGATTTATTAGTTCGACCGAGACATCGAGATCATGGGCAATGGTTGGCAGGGCGGGAAAATATATGTTCGATGCGAAGCCGGAGACTATGTTCATATCAGTATCAAATCTACGGGTTTAATTAAGCTCGCTATCATACAGGTAGCTGCTACAGAGACAATGAGGATGATCAGAGCCTTCTGTCGTTTGTCAAATATACTATACGGCTCGCTCACGGTGAGAGCTGGTGGCTCAGTTGTGGCTGGACCATTGATCTGATTTGGTTTCTGATGATTCGATGCCGTCATGACTTAAGGCTTTGGTGGTTGTCGCTGTTTCGGCCGTTGGGACAAGATTGTTTGAGCCGTGGAATGACTAGTTATATACACTCTCGTCATGTCCACGCTTAGACCGGATCTCGGATCTGAGGAAGAATGGCGCCGGACTTGAGAGGTAGGCACGGCACAATGTGGGGCTTACGTGCCGGAGTTGAAATGACAGAAACGCTTCACAAAGGGAACACAAGTCTAGATATTCCATTCCATTAAAGTCGACCACATGTGACACATTTACTTTCCTTTACCCTCCACCTTCATTTCGTCTACATGATGGAAAATTCACTGCAGACTGGCTCCAGGCGAGGCCAAAGCTTTGGCCGAAACTACGCGGTCTTGAATCTTGATTTGATGTCAATTCTGATAGAAGCGATTGAGGATACTGACCAAGGCAAATTGTTCATTGCTAATTGCACTCGGTGGAATAATGCAGTTCATCAAACAGAAAAACGTCCGCTGACCATTTTTACGACTCTTTTCTTTGCACACCGCACCCAGCCTGAACTCGTCAGTGACGGCGACACACCTTTTGTCAAATTGCTTGATACAATGCGGCCGCACTTCGTCAAAGACTCACCAGCGGTTCAAATTGACTCGAGATTTCTCGTCGATGAACATGACATTGTTCTTCAGAAGACAAGATGGTACGCGGGTGCCGGAAACAGCCTTGAGCAAATTCTTCAGGCTCAGAAAATCGACACCGTGATCATCGTGAGTCAACCCTGCGACTTAAGTCATATAACGCTTAGCTTACACTTTGTGTTCTAGTCGGGACTGAGCCTCACTGGCGTCGTCATGAGCACCGTTTATCGTTTATTCGACTTGGACTATAATATTTACGTTATTTCCGATAATGTATTGGAATTACCACCTCATCAGACTGATGACTTTAAAAGAATATTGCTTGATGCATTACTACCGAAGATGAGGTTGAATGTCGTCTCTGTAGACGAGGCATTGAAAGCGCTTCGAAAGTCTTAAAACGGTGGTTCAATAGGATACATGCGAATTTTCAGTACGTGTCTTTTAATTGTGATTTTACTATTTTGGCTCAACTTCTGGTGATTCAAATTCAGCCTTCGTGTGTGCAACTTGTCACAGCGTACAGCATTGTGCCAAACTCATCAATATGCTGTAACCACTGATCCACTCTGCTGCGTGTATTGGCAATCTTTTCTTCATCAGCCTCCGGAGGGACGGGCCATAGCTCATCAATGTGAAGGCCCTCCTCAATCCACTCTGCTAGATGTAAATTGTATGCTGTCTCCCAAGAGCGCCGACTCTTTGCTTCCCATAGCGCCTTACTGGCTGGCGCAGGCAATCCTCGTAGCTCAGTGCCTAGAAATGTCGGAAGGCCGTCTTGAGCGGAGAGAACGCTATCGAACATGTACATCACGTAGAGAGTCCGACGTTTTGCCTCTGCCATAATCCAAGCCTCCCAGCTTGGTCGAGCACGCTGCTGCTCTGCTGAGCATATGAGACCGCGCTGTGCACTCAAGCACGCAATTTCTTGGAGGTTGATCATCGCTTGACGTAGTACTGGTCCAGAGCCCTGACCAAGTTGGAAGAACAAGACCATTGAATAGATCAGGTAAGCTTGGAACGCGGCCAACTGCGACGCGTCATCATACGTTTGGTGTTGTTCATACAAGTTGCTCATCTCTCGCTGCAGCACATCGGCAGCTATGGCTTCACTGCCCGCCAGTGGCTTCTCTCCAATTCGGACCAGGCTGAGGCAGGTAGCAAGAGGAGGGAATGATGACAGGGCTGCTATTTGGACATGATGCACAAATGGCGGCACGCTACGCCCGCGAGCTGCGACAGTTGCGTATGCCTTGAAAATTCGATAGATGAAAATCGTTACCCCGGGAGGATAATTCTTTGCCGTCTGTCCAGGCACAGGAATGTACGGGTAGAGCCAGCGATTCTTGATATCATCAACATTGATCGGGCAAATGAGCTGACAATGGGTGAAATCGATTAGCTCCCAAGTCTTTGATTTTGTGGTTGAATCGAGCCCTGAGGTCTCCGAGATTCGAGATGTTCCGACTACTGTTGACGGTGTACTCGCCGGCGGGCTGCTAAATATGGACCGTGTTGGTACAAAGGGTGGATCAACTATAACGCCCCCATCGGCTCGGGATTCATGCGAAGGACTCTGAGTCTCAATGTCATTGGCGGACGTGATATTCAATCCAGATAATTGTGTGCGTGAGCTGGAAATGTTATGGTCACTAGTATGCTGAGTATGACGCCTAGGGGTTGATGACTGGGGATAGGTGCAGGCCAAACTCCGCTGTCCGCATCTGGCGCAGCCTCCTAACCTGCGATCGCATTTCGCCTTGGCATCGACGCATTGTTGGCATGCTTTCTGCCGAGAAGCAGCATATCTCCGTGATCGCATCCTCGTCGGCTGCCGCTGATCCAGTGTGAGTAGAAAAGCCGATCTCAGGTCAAACGCATCAGCTCCCCTGCGGCGGCAAAAAGCTCAACTCCGGGACAGTGAAATCCTACGGGGAATTATCAGTCCTGCGTTTCCATCGCTAGTCTTGTATAACCACAACAAAGAATTCATACAGTAGGCAATGAAACGAGAGTAGGGACTCGGTTTTGGAAGGTGTGAGCTTATGTCAAGCAATTGTTTGAGGCGTTTGCCTGGTGTCTCATTTCACCCTTTGTAGCCTGCACGGCACATGACCCCGCATCCGGAACTTAAACCTCGATTCGCTATATTCACGAGATTGGTCACCTGCAATCGGTCACCTGCCATATTTCTGCAATATTGAAAAAAAGGTCACAATCCAACAATCGCAGATGAAACCCTACACCCAGAAGAAAGTAGTGAGCCCTGTTTTGCTATATCTGAAGCTAACTAGGGATGCTCCTGTCGGTTTTCCGATCCTAGACTCCTCAACGTCCGTCTTTCCGCGGCGTATGGTCTGATGTCCGGGGTATATTTAACCCATGAAAGTCTCCCCACGTCAAAACAAAGTGGGTGTGCTAAGTATGTACAAGAAATCTATATCGTTCAGACGCGGAGTCATCATCATTTACATCCAAATTCCCGGCTAAAACAAGCCAAACACCAAGAAAGGTACGAAGCTGGCGGCTAGCACCAGCGATGGCACGACTGTTCGCGCATGTCCGGCATTCGTGACCTCGACGGTAGGCGAGCTGGAAGGACTGCTGCTGGTAGAGCTTGGGCTGCCGGAGGCTGTGACCAGTGAGAGTGTGGTGGCACCCCTTGTCGCAGTCGTGTTTACGACGATCTGGCTGCTGAAAGTAGTCTGGCTGGAAATGGCAGTTGAGGTCGTAGCGACAGTTGTGGGCTCTGGGGTAACGGAAGTTGATGTCTCAACAACATTTGGCTGCTCAGTGCTAGCGGCGACGACGGAGTACAGAGTCGTGGGTGCTTCAGTCGAGACCGAAGTGGTGGTCTGGACTGTAGGCGTCGTTGTTGTGGTCGTGCTGACTTCGAAGAACACGCCTGGAGTCGCACTTGGGCTAGCACTCGAGGTGATGGCAACTTCGGTAGTTGATCCACTATCAGAACCCGAAGTATCATCAGAATCTGAATCTGAATCCGAACCGGAATCAGAGTCGCTACTAGAACCGCTATCGACGGCAGTCACGACTTCGCCAGTGCTAGCGTCAGTGGTCTCGCCAGTCTGGTATGCGATGTTGTAGACATGAGCGCTAGTCAGCTTGCTGGTTAGGCCAAGTGTGTGAGGGCAGCTGGGCTGGTTGCTGGTAGCCAAATCGAGGGTACACTCTTCGTCATAGCCTAGGGAGCAGATGGCGTCGCAGATATTGTAGAGCACGTGGTTCTTTGCAATATAGCTGTCAGGCTGAGCAAGGCAGCTGGTCAAGAAGTTCATGCTGTTGGATGCGCTGAGCGGCACTTTGGCGCCATCGGTGTGGATGAGGTCGGCGCATTCAGATGCATCTACCTCCTCGTACTCCATCGCAACAGTCCCTCCAGAGATAGGGTCAGCGGTAGCCGACTCGCCTGTCTGTAGATAGACCCAGGCATCGTAGCTGATGTCGTATGCGCCTCCAGACTGGTCGATGCGCAGCAGATGCACGGAGCGACCCTCATATGTAAGCTTGACGCAGAAGTTGTCGCAGTCGACAGAGCCAGGCCAGTACGCGACACGGTTAGTGTTGATCTTACAGCCTAGAACGCCAACGGAGGACGAGTAGCTGTCGTGTGGTGTGGCCCAAACTCCCTTAGCAGCGGTGCCGGCCGCAGAGGCAACGAGGCAGACGGAAACGAAGAAGCCGTAGTTGCGCATGTTTGCATGATCTGTCTGTCGGTGTATCGGAAAGAAGGAATGAATGTAGCTGCTTGAGCTTGTTCGTGAAATTTCAACTCGTCCGTCTTGTCAAAGAATGAAATCCGCGCTTATGTTCGCGAGGAGAGCTGTGAAGGAATGTCTTCAGATGTGTTTGAATGATCGACTTGTATCCCAGACGCAGATGGCTTGTAGAAAGAGTGGCCTGCCACAGTCGTAACTGAGATGGACAAGAGTCTCTCGAAGAGAGTGAGAGAGACTGTTTGCTCGAGGGTCCTGAGAGAGTGTGTAGTTGGGAAAAGAGTGGATGCACGTAAGTATGTGCCGGCAACAAGCTTAAGTGAAGAGCATGCGGGAACCAACAGCCAAGAGGAGCAGCAAATTTTGTTTTCCGGCGGCGTCAGAGTTGGGGTGGACCCTGAATTAGCACATGTTTCTGAGACCTGTCCAATGAACACCCAGCCGTTTCCCCTGATCTGAGTCAGGGGTCCGCATCCCGACGGCGCCTTAGTGCATTGCCGAGCTGAAGTGTCACCTGTAAATTCCCGCGCACCAGTCAGTCCAAATGGAGCCCCCAATAGAGCCGAAGTACCCAATCTTTATTAGCATACTGTAAAGAGACAAAGCAATAGGGAAGGTTGCGATTCAGGTTCGCAGTGTAACCTGGGCTCTTGGTAAGAAGGCCCCATATGCTGGTGGACGTTGTGCGGTGGCTGTTTTATCTTAGCGCCTTCAGATCCCAGGTCTCCCGTCCGTGCCCACGCTGATCACATTTTGAGTCTGCCTACTAGGCTCTCCGAATCGCTTATGTAACCGGTGGCTGAGTTGGACGACAGAAGGAATTATGTAACGAGGCCTCATACGCGTTCATGAGTGATTGGTCTCTCGGCGGACAGTTTCGTTGATCAAGTACAACCTATGAGGTTATCACTCGTCGCACTGCAGCATTTTCGGAACAGGTGCGTAGCTATCACTAATTACTGAGTCAAGAGCTTGTCCGCCCATGACAGTGCCTCTCGTTTCACAGGGACAGGCGCCTGGCCGATCGAGACTTTGCTTGTCGGCCTCGGCGCCTATTAACCAAAATCTGTCCTTCTTGGAGGATTTTGTCGTGGGTGGTGAGGCTATCTCGTAGGGATAGTACTTTTTCTCCGTGAATGTGAAACGGCACTCCAGCGAGGACTGAGGCTTTTCCCGATGATGAAAGTACCTCGACGACGTTCTTATTTGATCATGGAACAACGATCTTCGTAGCAGGGCTAAGCGAAAACCGAATCGCGTCTTTCGGATCGCAACCACATTCGTATCTACAAAGATAAATATAAGGCGCTATGCCTACTAGCCGTCAAACGTTGAATAAACTCCAAAATTCGGCATACAATTCGCAACGAGTAGGCTCTTCATCACCCGGTCTATACTTGTGAGGATAAAGTTGGACTGTCCTGGTAAAGAGGGGTTTATCGTTGTCATGCTTCCAAAATGCGGCGTGGTGTAGGATTAGGAGAAGATTGAAGGTATCATTCATCATATATTGGACTTGTGTATTTTATGCTGCTGTCTGGGATAAATTCCGGTAAAGTCCTCGGCACTGTGGCCGGATAAGATCTCAGACGGGTAAGGGGCGATATAAGGAGGACCATGCCAGCTTCTGTGCAGGACCGGAAAGATCAACTTATTCAAATCTATTTCCGCACAACGTGCAATTCTAAACATGTGGCAATATTTCATGCTGTTCATTGCATGGATTGCCCATAGTGTCTTTGCAACAGGCTCCCCCGGTTGCGGGAAAGTGCCTACAATTGTCGATGGGAAATACAATATGGCCATCAACAACAAAAAAAGGGAATACTTCATCAAGCTCCCTGCGAACTATGACTCTACCCTTCCATATCGACTGGTCTTCACGTTTCATGCGCTTGCCGGCACAGCTGAACAGGTAGTTGCGGGAGAGGGTGGTTATCTACCGTGGTATGGTCTACCACCTCTGGCTAACAATACGGCCATTTTCGTCGCGCCTAATGGATTGAACAATGGCTGGGCTAATGATGGTGGTGACGATATTACTTTCGTCGATAGCATGATTGCCACAGTCGAGGCTGGCCTTTGCATCGACCAAAAGCTCCGCTTCTCCACAGGTTTCAGCTATGGCGCCGCTATGTCCTATTCAATTGCATGCAGCCGTGCTAAAGATTTTCGAGCTGTGGCCGTTCTATCTGGGGGCCCCATGAGTGGTTGTGATGGAGGCAACGATCCGATCGCGTACTACGGGCAACATGGTGTTAGTGACCAGGTATTACCCATCGACTTAGGGCACCAGCTTCGAGATCGTTTCGTCAAGAATAATGGATGCAGAAATCAGTCGATCTTAGAGCCTGCATCTGGGAGTGGCACGCATACCAAAGCGGCATATACAGGATGCAATGCTGATTACCCTGTGACTTGGGTAGCGTTCGACGGGCCACATACACCACAGCCAATGGACAGCGGGCAGAATGCAACATTTTCTCCCGTCGAAACATGGAAGTTTTTCTCTCAATTCTCATAATAGGAGCATAATACCAAATGTCATCTTAACTGCTGCCATCAATTGCTGCCATTTGCTTGGCAGCTTCTCGCGCCCTGTTTGTTGACTCCTCCGTCTCTAATTCGCTCGATATACTCTCGAATCTGGTCTTCCAGAACGTCCATCTCTCGCTGTTTAGACCAGCTGAGCCACTGAACAGCTCTCCCGAGCTGGTGACATTGACAAACTCCTCGTCGCTTTCACCATTGAGCGTCCACTCATACAGATACTTTCCGGCATATTCTATCCATGTGGTTGCAGCAGAAACATAACATTCTCGCAACTTCTTTGGCTGACCTGCACTTGATTCCAAGGCGTCTCTCATTGTCCATACTGCAAAATTCGGCTTCCAGGACACGGTCCTGGTTCCAAATAGACGAGCAAAGAAGGCATTCTTGTTCACCCATTGATCTTGGGATGATTTGTCGCCCTCTTGAGGCCCTGTGACTAGGGTTAGCCAAGTCTATAGCTAGTGTAACTTTCAAATAGTCTCTCCGTACCAACCCACGCATCTCGGAACACTGGGCCTGCGAGAGGCAAATCAGTCCAGAGACGCTGCTCGTTGCCCTGCAGAAGTCAGATGTGTCAACAAGAGCTTATATTTTGAGGGAACATACCCAAACAGTGATCGTGGTTGGCGGCAGAGCTTTCAGCTCCCGAATAACATCGACGAGCTTATCCTGAGCTGCGTGGTTATGCGGTATCTGACGCGCAATCTGATCGATATCATCCCAGAATCCCCACACGAAGTCCTCAGTGCTGCTGGGCTCGCCATCTTCTTGCTTGAGTGGGCTCAACGTGTCAATTGACTTAGCGGCCGCTTCCGTCCGGGTCGTGCTATTAGGCTGGAGGTACTCCGTGAGAGTTTGGACATAACGCTGCCTAGGGCTGAGCCCATCGGCAGAGGCGAGCCCTCGAAGCGTGAACCTTATGGCACTCATTGCATCTGTATCTGCATTGACGTTGTAAGTGACGATGCTACTTCCGCTCCTTGAAGACAGATTGTTCCCGGTATTTGTAGAATGGACTGCGCCGATGGCGACCCCGCCAGCGTTTTGTTAGCCTGTCGATCTCCCACGTGAAAATCGACTCTCTACGACCTTCCCGATTTACTCATTTGGACATGAAACGAAGCAAGCACGAGCCACTTTGGTTTCATCATTGAGTTATTATCTCCCTAATTCTCCTATTGGTAGACTCCAAGTACACTGAGAGCAGCAATTGTGAATTCTTTAGAAGTACCGGCATGCGAGGTAGCTAAAGAAGCTACCTTCTGCTCATACAATTCGTGAAATGCAAATCAAATTCTATTCAACGAAAATAGCAAGGCAATGACAAGAATCTTGGATTTATCACTCTGACGGTAAAGCAGGGCCAAGCTCTTTCTCAAGCTCCAACACAAGAGGCATTTTGATCTCTCCAACGCGCAGCTTGCTCAAATCCGGCTCATACCCCTCTTCCACCAGGTGATACGGGCCCATGGGAACGATGCCATATGGATGCATGTGCAAATGCGACTTGATATAGTTGTCCTTAATGTGCGTGAAGTCGGTCGTCTCTCTGAAGCCGGGTACGTTCCAGTAGAGGTTCTTCAGCCAATTGTTCAGCTGCGGGTAGTCGTGCCGGATGGTGCCCAGGTTGCACTTGAAGACGTAGACGTAGATACTATCGAAGCGCACGATGGTCGCGTATGCGCGCACATCTAGCTCGGTCATCTCGCGGCCGAGGATAAATGGGCCGCCGTTGGCGGCGATTATCTTCTCCAGCTTGTTCAGCGCCGCGAACACCGGCGGTAGCTTCTTGTCGTACACCTCCTGCGTCTTCGCGAAGCCGGGCTTGTACACGCCGGAGTTCAGGTCCCGCTGCATCCAGACCGTTATTTCGTCGATTGTCGCGCGGAGGTGCTCTGGATAGAGGTCTATCTCTGCCTTGTCTTCCGGAAGAATGGAGTTGAATGCTGTCTGGAGGTCACGCAAAAGCTCGGCCGACTCATTGTTGACGAGACTGTTGGTCTTCGTGTCCCACAGCACAGGGACAGAGTACCGGCCCTTGTACTCCGGATCCTCTCTGAAGTAGAGCTCATGGAGGTATTTGTAGTTGAAGAGCGGGTCGGGTGTCGCGCCCGGGTACTCGGACTCACTCGCCGGGAACTGCCAGCCCGGCCAGCCATCTCCATCGCCTTTCGGGTAGGGCTTGACGACTGTGGTCGGAATAATATCTGTCAATCCCTTGAGATGACGGATAAGATTTGCGCGATGGGCAAACGGACAGAAGAGTCCTGAGCGAACGCATCAGTGACGCTGCAAAGTCATACCCCGCACACTGGGCCTAGGGAGTGATTGACGCACCTATATACAGACGATATCGGCCTTTTTCTGGCAGAAATGGCCCGTCAGGCGTGATCTTACCAGTCCAGGACCGTATGGGCCCCTCCCCAATACTAGCTGCAGGTCTTTCGGGGACAGACATGTTCTCTGGAGCGACAAGTCGTTATGATGCCTTCTACGAAACTAAGGCTTCACTTCAGTTTGGCGGGGTTGACACGCCTCTAGAGATGCAGGCGGGGCCATGGTGGCTTTTAGCATGAGATCACATTTGTGCAGGCTTCGTCATATCCACTTCGCTCGCTATATTTGAGCTGGATGGCGAAATCATTAGGAGTAAGTTGGATCACGTTGATACCCTCAATTGAGCGAGGTGAGTAATCATATATTAGTACCGATGTTTACGATCCATTCCGAGAGTGGCTTATAGGATTCTGTGTCGCCGAAGGATGTCGCACAGTGGGATATTGGATCTGGGAGCCCCGAAATCATTGGTCCCTGGGCAGCAGCTGGAATAGGCGTTCCTCTCAAGCCGCCCCCGAGAAAGACACGCTTGGTGCTGCTAATGATATAAATAGAGGCGAGGATGTAGCCAGTCCTGTACGCCAGCTAACTACATTCTTGTTTTCTATTCACCATCAGACGAAGGCTGAAAGTGGGTGCTGACAGTGCATCGAGCGAATCGCGCTCTAAGCTACTAGGTATTCCTGCCTGTTCATACGGGTCATACTGAAACTACTCGCGGTTGGATCTACATACACAACGCCTTTCCCATGAATTCCACCAGCTTGGGTAAAGTCTCAGTTGTATCGTCGTAAAGATCCACATGACTCTTTCCTTCGATGATGTAGAGCTCCTTGGGCTCTTTGGCCTTTTCAATCCCCCTCCAACTGAAGTATATGGTGTCGGCATCGCTCCCAGCAATCATCAATAGCGGCCTGGGAGATATCATGTAGTTGAAAGCGTAGCTATCGTAATTGGCGCGCAAGTCAATGCTCCAAGCCACCTCTTTGTTCACTGAGCGGGGATGGCCTCCCCGTGGTGTTTTGTAGTAGTCCCAACCCTCCGTCAGCGCATTTCTCTCTGGTAAGCCGGGCGGTAGGTCGGTAACATTCTCTGGAAGCAACGAGATTTGAACGGATTTTCCAGTCTGCGCCTCTGTGATTCTGGCTGCACCAGATTGTTTCAATGCAAGTGTCAACTGCTCCGGGCTTATCTGTAAGAGGGGTGAACCCTCCACTCCGTGGCGGGTCTGCTCGCCAAAGCAGGCACCGCTTATAGTGGCCACAGCACGCATGCGTTGATCTGTTTGGGCTGCAAAGGGCACATAACCCCCCGATGCACAGATGCCGAGAACTCCAATACGTAGTGGATCAACGAGAGCCACATCCTCGTCGATAGTCGAGAGATAAGTCACGGCAGACTTGAAATCCTCAACACGCTGATACGGGTCCTCAAGCCCACGGGGTTCTCCCCCACTCGCGCCCTGGTAGGCGGCATCGAAAGCAAGCGCCACGAAGCCGGCGCCGGCCAGTAGCTTAGCATAAAGACCGGCAGTCTGCTCTTTGACTCCGGTACCCGGATGGCCGACAATAATCGCAGCGTGCTTTCGTTCTTGGCCGTTGTCTGACGGCAAGTAAAGGTGGCCTGCAATGCTGATGCCGCGGCTGAGGAAGGTGACTTGCTTTGGCGCAGTCATGATACTGGTGGTTCTTGTAAAAGCGATTTGAGTTGAGATTGAGCCTTGACAGACTTTAATGCTTATATGTATTGAAAACACGATACTACGATTTTCAAAAGAAACCTTTCGTCATTATATACTTTTTGAGTCCTCCGTTGAGTCTCGCGGCTTTTCGCAGCGTCCGGGGCCCTGCAACTGCGTCTCCGTAGCTCCCGCCCCGATAATCTGGTCGGAGAGCCGAAAATTTCGGGCGCTAAGTAACAGGCAATGTGGTGCTGGCGGGGATAGGTGGAGACAAGCTCCGCAAAGATCTTGGACAAGCCACTGTACAGCCACTACATACTACGACGCACGTGTGGCCACTAATAGACGCTTGATAATTCACTGAAACTCACACATGCACCTCTGGTTTCAGTTGATGTTCTTTTCAGTCATGTCTTGCTAGCTTTGGGTGGCACCTAAAAATGTGGTTGGATTATATTCCCAGCGACAACAGGAAAGGGACGGATAGCAAGAAAGTCGACAGTGTGTAGCTTCTGGGACCGAAACAATCCATGTCATATTTTTGACCAGCGATGCTATGCGAATACGACAGTATATGTCGTGCCTTGCGTTGAGTGCTTTTGATATGCACTGTCAAGCGTTCAGATGATGTTGAAAAGATGCCTCTCAGGACAGGCCTTCAACTTCGCCAGGCATCCATCTGGAATACCACCAATGTAATCCTGATTGTAGCACATCCTGAACTCGCGTAGAGCATCGTCGACATCTTCATTTGGTGGTGTGGTCTGATGATCGCCCCCACTGGCCCAGTAGTTCAACCGACAGCGGGCAAGGTAATGGACCATTTGAATATTGTAATAGTGAGCGGAGTAGTACTGGTGATTAGGATGTCAGCAATCTATAGTCGCATCCCACGGAAAAAGCTCACATAGAAAGAGTCATATCTCCCCATTGCTTCCAAATACCCCTCGAACTCCGACTTCACAAGCACCCAGTGCACAGGGTGGGTTTTGGAAATGAATCCGCTCCTAACATCGCGGAAAGAGAATGAGAAGCCACGGCCTTTTTGGTAGTCTACCTTGAGATACACAGGCTGGCCGACCTGTCTATGGGGCTTGACCGCTTGGTTGTTTTGCTTGCTCTTGGGGCCAGGAACGCATGTCTCCGCAAGGGTCCCAATCTCGCATGATGTATCAGGCAAATCGGGAAATTGACCAGCTTTGCTTGGTGGCTGAGGTCGGGTACCAGGTACCCAGTCTCGAAATACCCAAGTCAGAAACCTGTCGAAATCTCCGTCTGTAACAGGTTGGCCCGGTAGAAGGCGATTCTTAGCCTCGGCCAATAAGGCTCGCAACGAGACTTTGCAGTCTTCGGGGACTCCAGCTGGAGAGGAGAAACTCCAGCCATTGTCATCGGGCTGAATGATTCGGGGGGCAGGTGCGGCCTCGCCGTAGGTGATACCCGAGTCGGACATGGTTTTGTCAGTTTTTGGTGTGACCTGTACCGACGTTTGGAATGAGGAGAAGTCCCGAGCTGAGTGATGAGTGAGTATTGGTGGTTCGCGAAATCCGAATCGAAAACATCTCAGAAGAGAGGCTGGACAAGATGGTGTATTGGATGAGGTAGACCTGGAGAAAGCCTCAAGACTGTTGTGTAAAACGAAAGAGGGAAAAATTTTCGGAAATCGAAACGAAAAGGCAAGAGCCGCGAAAGATAGGATGGAATTGTAAACAATTTGGGTTCTCCACGAGTCACTTCGCAAGTGAACAAATTTGGCCGCCTATCATTACAACACCTAAAAATCAATCGGTATCATACACGAAGATGCTGTAATTTCTTTTTATTCGACTCGGAGTATGGTTTTAAACTACATCTGGCTGGTAATTTCTACACAGAAGCTGAGGCTTGATATGGTATGTAGTCCTCCGTCTGAAAGTTCCAGTCCGAGGTAGTATTGTAGTCCCAGAAAAAAGATAAATATTGCGGATCGCTCGCAGAAATGTTGCAAGTGGTTGAGAAATCCGGAAGTGTCTTGCTCACTTTCTCGGTGTAGTTGGCGAGAGAGCAGGAAAACCCCGGGCCGTTTTGGCATCCCTCGAAAGGGACCACGGCCTCGTTCAGCACAATTCGGACATACGTATCCTCCTCGCTCACCGCAGTTGCATTGCACGCCAGGCGTTCAATTGTGAGATGACCCCCCATTGGCATAACGTCTCCGATTGAGTACTGATTTGGGAAAGGGATGTGATCTAGGGGCAGATCCTCTGCGGGACTAGAAATGCCGAGTGCGGCGAGTACAGGTGTGATGCTGGTGTCATGGGAGCTTTAGACCATATTAGTGAAAGTTCAAAACACCAATTGGGAGTTGGAAACCTACAAACTGAAGAAGATGGGTCCCGACTTCTCGGGTCCTTCGTTCAAGAGGTGTAAAGTGGCATTAGCGTACACAGCGCCAACCGCCTTCATTTTCTCATCGCCAGGCCTGTCCGGGGTTAGTAGTCTGCCGCAAATTAGTCATGAGAGACTTTACCCTGCACAGTAGTAGAAGTAGAGATCCTGAGTGTAGCCGAAGCTTAGCCACTCATCCATGGTGAAAACGTCGATCCAGTCCGAAAAACCCCTGACGTTGAGCTCAAACGCTGCCATTTCTGATTATTTTACTTAGTGTTGAGTTGTGATGCGCAAAGGGGGACAATATCTTACGCATGAGAGTGAATATGTCCGAGGAGTTGAGCGCAAGACCCGAGTTTTGCCCGTTCAGTCTGGCCGCTGCAACATCAAACTGTGGCATGTAGTTCGTCAAGTTCTTGCAGACGATAGCCTCGTCCGCAGGACACTTCGGTGTGAGGCTGTTGGCACCCATATTTGCATCTTCAGATATCAAGTTGATTGCGGCTGATGTTGAGTAGTTCCAACCAAAGAAACCCTCTCCTGCAGCACGTTCATTAGCACAAGATGTATCTAGTGACAATGAACCACATTTGAGCTCCTCAGGGGTACATGATAGCAATACGCACCAAATTTTCGAGCTGTCTGAGTAACGCGCATCCAGTCCGCTACGAATATTGGGACAGTTGTCTGTCCATCCCACAGGTGTCCGTACCTTGCGCGATACTCTGCACCGTGTGTATAAGTTCCTAGGAGACCCGAGTAGGGACCGGCAGAGGACTCCAATTCAAGATAACCAAGATCTGGGATGAAGAAGTCCCAATGATTCAAAAATTGAAGGTCATCTGTCCACTTTCCACTGCTACTAGATTTATAAAGCTTGTCAAGGACTTTGATCATGCCCTCTCCCTGAGCTACCAATGGGAACCGTTCTCCGTGGCGGCGAAGCATCAAGACTTGATCAACAACGCAACCATCAGGTGGATCGCGTCCAATGCCATAGGAAGCGCGGTTGGCATATGGTCCGTAACCACCAACATGCTTCAGTATTGAGTAGCCATCCTGAAATGACTGCTGGTACGGAGCATTCATTGGATAACGGGCATTGCTGCCAGGCTTGTTAGAAACATAGCCTGCTACCAATGAAGTAGCCGCCACTAGTAGAGTAAATAGTGAGGGTACAGCCATCTCGAAGTTCCCTTCAAGAACGGAGGTAGAACCATACTAGAATGTAGAACTTTATCTTGAGCGGCCACGGCACCGCCTTTTGTATTCAATCTTGACTGTCTATGAGCGGGGCACCACCATTGGAGGGCGGGGAAGTGAATTACTAGTATGAACCACGGTTACAATGTTTGCTTGTACAACTTTGATACTGCGACTTTCCATGGTAGACTAGCAGGGAAGACTGAGATTTTCGGTCGATTTCAAGTCTAGCAAGCCCGCTCCCGAAACCATCGCCGCAAGATTTGACAACTATGTCCGCCAACACAAGGCATAACGGCCGAGTGAAATGCGGGGGAATGCTATCCCAGACAGACTTCGGAGAAGTTGGCCTCCTTTTCCTTTGGTCGCGTGACAAATTGCCTCTTCGGATTGGCAGATGCAACTCTGTGTCGATCTTAACCTGCAGCCAGGAGTGGAGGCATGATGACGTCTCCATAATATTGAGGTCGATACCGGCGAAAAGCCCGAAAATTGAGAATGCCTACTGACATCCAACTCTCCATCTCTACAACATCCTCAGCAAAGTTGTCACTTGCTGTGTGTGTATCTACTAGGTTTGCTCTCGACTCATTTTTGAGTTGCAATGCCAAGAAATCTATGCTTATGTGTTGTGAACCAAGCACTGTGTTAGAGGCAAGTAGTCCTAGAGAAATCAATTCGAGGTACCAGTGACCCTATTGTAGAGCTAAACTACGTCTTACGAACTGAACTCGTTTACTTCCTTCTTAGCAGTTTGACGATATCCTCTTTTTCACAAGCACTCGCCACGTCGAGCGCACTACGTCCTTTCACGTCTTCCTTCAATGGGTCCAATCCCTTGGCCATCATTAATTCGAAAAGAGCCTTGTCATGCCCTTCTTTGACGTAATAATTTTTCCCTCGCTTGGTTATAATATGCAAAGCCGTTTCGCCTTCGTGGTTTGCCGCAAACACATCAACGCCACAGTCGGTCGGAAACAGCTTGTCGTAGTGGTCAACGTGGCAAGTGTAAGTATTGCTTGAAGGGTTGTACATGTCGGGTGCTGATAGATACGCAAGAAGGGGAGTGTTACCCGCATCATCTTTAACATTGATCGAGCCTCCTTCTTTGATGAATCTCTGCCAGAGAGCCAGACAATGATCGAAGTAGTCTTTTGGTAGATCTATGTTTAAGTGCCCCTCCGCACCTCGAGAGCGAGTGGTCGTGAGACATTGATTTGCTATGTAATGCAAGCATGTGAGCCCGGCCGGGTCGGGCTCTAGTAGACTAGCACCTTTGGAAAGAAGCAGGTCGCAGATAACTGGGCGGAGAATACGGAGAGCGTAATGAAACGGCGTGAGCCCATCGCCGTCTTTCTTCAAAAGGGTAGGAGCCACTTCTTTGCGGTTGATGAATTGCACAAGAACATCGTCAGGCATACCGGGGTTATTCAAGAGGTGATGAAGCGCTGTCTTCCCGCTGTTGTCAACTAACGTCGCATCCGCTTTGCGATCGAGGATACGTAGCGGTGGCCCAGGGGCCTTTGGATCCCAGTGTAGGTGCGAGTATCCAGGCAGAACTTCGCGCCAGTCACACGCAGCCATCAGGACTGTTCGCCCACGCTGGTCCCGGTGGTTGAAGTCGATTCGAGACACGCAAGGGTCTTTGAGTAACGTGTCGAGCACGTCGAATACTGGCCACTCAAAGAGGAAGTGTATCATTTTTTCATTATCATTCAAAGGCAAATACAAATCGGCTCCACGCTCGATGAGTGCTCGCAGTAGTGGCACCGTTTGTGGGACATGCCGATTCAGCTGCTCCGCGAACGCCGCACAAAGGAGAGCATATACCTTCCGTGGCTCTTTCAGCGTATAGTGCACATCTCGGCTATGGCGCCGTTCGTCAAGAGAATCCACGCTAACTCCATTATCAAGAAGGGTTTCGAGTGCGGCTAAATTCTGGTCGTATATGGCCTGAAACAGAGGGTTTTGCTTTGTAGCTGTTGGATCCGCGCCGTTACGTAGCAGCTCTCGCATGACATCAGGCGCGGCTGATGCTTTGTGAAGAGACGATAACCCTTTGTAATCCAAGATATTGGGATCGGCCCCATGACTGAGAAGGACTCGTACAGCACTCAGTCTCCAGAAGCCATGGATGCTTTGGTTGTCACGTGCCATTCCACGAGCCGCTACGTGGATCGGGGTTTGCCCCTTCTCATCTTGCGCGTTGACATCAGCACCTTTGGCAATCAGGTATCTCATCGCGTCCATTTGCCACCAAGTATCTGCTGATGCTAGCACATGTAGTGCAGTCCCTCCGGGAACTAAGTCTGACTCGCGGTCGTAGATATCTCCGTGATGGGTTGCACATGAAGCGTTGACGTCAACGTGAAGCTTCTCCACAAGGAGCTTCAAAACTTGCAAATTAGGCTTTTCCGATCTACACGCCAACTGGAGCGCCGTGAATGCCGGATTGTCAATATAACGCTCGCCTGCCGAACGCGCTCTCTCAACCTTTTCTCTAACAGATTCGTACGTGCTATAATGTAACACTAGCTGCGACACCAGCTCAGTCAGTTGTAAATGACCAGGCTTCATGATTTCTTCTAGGAGTCTGTAATGCGAAGGGGCCAGACTATCGTTCGCAAAGCCTTCATTTACCAGTTTTGCAGCGTCTTCGCTTGTGAGAAGCTCGAGGAATAGGTTAGGTGATTTAGCAACCTCATCGTATGCAACTTTGTCTCCTTCTAGTGCTTGCAAAGATGAGCGCGGCTGCATTAGAGTCATTTGAGCCCTCATATACTTCTGAATCTGGTCAGAGCGCTCTGAATTTTTGGGATCATTCTCCACGCCTTTTATGAAATCAGCAAATAGCTCTTCATCCGTGGCGAATACCTCAACGACCTCGGCACAGCCTGCCTGGAGCGCGAGATCCAGAGCCGTGTGGTTCTGTTTCTCCGCTGCCGAAACATCTGCTCGAGCATCTAGCAGCATTTTCACAATCACGCCCACGCCCGAGAAGTAGGTCCTTCGAATGCCGGGCCTTGGTGAGCCATATCGGTATCGATACCATAGCTCGGAGAGCCGTCGTGGCCGAGCGCCTGGTCGAAGAGGATCTCGCGGCGGCCCTCGTAGCCATGCATCGCTCTGACTGTGCAAGTCCCAGATGTCCTGCTCTGCGGTGAACTCGACACATGCATGTAAAGGGGTGCGCTTGTCCGAGTCGACTGCGTGAACATCGGCGCCGTGCCTAAGGAAAAGTGCTACCGATTCCGGGTCTCCAGAACTGCAAGCGTAGTGCAGAGGCGTCCGGCCAAACGAGTCCCGCTGATTCACGTCGGGACATGCGGCGTGCTCTAGGATTTGTCCCAGTATGTTGGGTTGACGTGCTCGGCTGGCGAGATGCAATACATTTTGCGAGTCCTCTGTCAAGAATCTCAATTCTGCGCCAGCAGCCAATAAGGTTGCCACTTCGGTTTCCGACTGCATGACTGCTAGGTGAAGTGGAGTCAGGCCGTTCTTGTCTCGAATCTCGAACTTGAGATCTTTATTCCCGTTGACTGCTTCGACAAAGTGAACGCGGCGATCGTGATGAATAGTGCTGCCTGAAGGGCACCCTCGTTGCAACACATGCAATGCAGTAGACCCTTCATTATTCACAGCGTTGACAGGTACACCGAGACTAACAATCCAGCGCACGTACTCAGCCATCTTTGGCTCACTAGTGTACCAGTATGCGACATCGTGGAGCAGAGTATTCCCTGCTCCATTTGTGGTAAGCGGATCTAGCCCGTCATTGGCAATAAGCTTCTCCAGTCGCTCGCGCACACATGAAGAACCTTGGCAAAGAATATGCAGAGAATTGTTCCCGCTGTTGTCGACAACGTCAGATTTTGCCCCCCGATCTCGAAGGGTTCGCAACTTTTCATCCGAATTTAAGCAGCAGAGGTAGAGAGTACGGCCATTCTTATTTCGTATGTTGATATCAATGCCTTCTGCCAGCAGAAGATCCAGATACTTGACGAACTTTTCATGGTGATATTCGGATGACAGAAGGAACCAGCATTGCTTCTTAACCAGAACATTGTTGCATCTTGACAGGAGTATCTGGAACACCTCTGGCCCTGCCGACATTGCCTGATACACCGGGGTATTACCGCGATCATCTGCTTGGTTAGGATCTGCACCGTGTTCGAGCAAGTATCTTACAATGTCTTCGGTGTTCTCAGTTCCTTGCACCATCCCAGTCTGCTGCATGGAGCAGTGCAAGGCCGTCTGCCCATAATTTCC